CTTTAACTTGTTTCAAAATGTTTACTTTTCAGTTTGTTTCCAAGGTTTTAGTGTTGTTTTGTGCAAGACTGTATTGGGACACGGAGTTCTCTGGAAATATAGTCCAAATATAACATGGTCTTTAAATTGCTCCGAACAGGACATCTGTATCTTAGTGTGATGACTTCTGGGGGCATTGGAGCAACATAACCAGGTCCCGTGGGGTCTTAAACAAACCAGTCACTGCTTTCTGGCACAGGTTGTTTTATTGGACACGGGATTAACGTAAGAAGCAGAGGTCCATCCGTGGCTATTAGCCCCAAGGTATAGATGGCTCAAGGGGTTAAGACGCTGAACTGCAGGCTGTGGAAGGTCGGTAGTTCAGCAGTTCAAGACCCAGGTTGCCGCATGATGGAGTGAGCTCCCGTCTCTAGTTCCAGCTCCTGCCAACCTAGCAGTTCGAAAGCAAGAAATTGCAAGTAGATAAATAGGTACCACCTCGTTGGGAAGGTAACAGCGTTCCGTGCGCCTTGGGGTTTAGTCATGCCGGCCACATGACCATGGAAACGTCTTCGGACAGTGCTGGCTCTTCGGCTTTGAAATGGAGATGAGCACCGCAACCCTAGAGTCGGATTCGACTGGCTTTCGAGCGAGGGAACCTTTACCTTTAATAGATGGAACACTATGTCTGGGGCAGTGATGCTCTGTGTTCTTGGTGCTCAAGGGGCAACAGTGGGAGAGCTTCTGGAGTTCTGGCCCTGCTGGTGGACCTCCTGATGGCACCTGGGTTTTGGCCACTGTGTGACACAGAGTGTTGGACTTGATGGGCCTTTGGCCTGATCCGACATGGCTTCTCTTCTGTTCTTATGACCAGTCCAAGCACCTAAAAGTGTGGTTAGCTTCACCTGCCTCTGGGTTACAATGTCTTACAAGGGAGGAGGAGGAGGAGATTGGATTTATAACCCGCTCTTCACTACCCAAAGGAGTCTCAGAGTGGCTTACAATCTCCTTTCCCTTCCCCATCCCACAACAGACACCCCGTGTGAGTAGGTGGGGCTGAGAGAGCTCTCCCGAGAACTGCCCTTGAGAGAACAGCTCTGACAGAACTATGGCTTGCCCAAGGTCACACTAGCAGCTGCATGTGAAGGAGTGGGGAATCAAACCTGGTTCTCCCAGATTAGAGTCCACGCTCCTACCACTACACCAAACTATCTGAAGAGTGTCAGCACTCTAACCTGCCTCCTTGTTTTGGGACCTCCCTGAGATAACAACTCTCCCTCTCTTTGTTTCCTTCTTATTCTCCTCCTCCACCGCCCCCCTTCTCCTTGGCTAGCTTGGTTTCCCCTTCCTGTCTGTCCTGGCCACCAGATGGGAGGGAAGTCCCAGTAATAAGGTCGGAAAGCAAGTGTTCTTTGGTCACAGTCAAATGATCCGATAGCACAATCAAGGGCAAAGTCAGAAGGTAGTTCCAAGATTTCAGTACAGTGCCAGGGCACATATTCTAAAGGCAGAGTCCAAAGGTCAAGTACCAATAATGAAGCAAGTTAGGCAATTGGTAAGATAATCAGCAAGGCTGCGATCACACACACTAAATAGTCCACTTCCAATGCACTTTCCAACTGGAATTTTGCCAGTTCACACAGTAAAATCTGTTGGGATTCTTCTAAGTAAGTCAGCAGAGTATTAAGAGACTGAGTCCATGGTGTGTATTAAAATATAAAAGTTTACTATAAACCTAACATGGGAAAAAGGTACACAGGATATGAAAATAACAAAGAGCTAATATGTCTACATCCTTGCAGCTAAAAGGTAAAACGGGAAGAGCTGAATGGCGTCTCCTTCTGTAGTCAGAACAAAGAACGGGAGGAGAAACCAATATGCTAAATACTTGACACCTTGGTTTCCAATCAGACTAGCAAATTAGCTCCAAAGTTTCCGGGCATCCTATTGTCTAAACAGATTGGTTACAGACAAACATGTGACTTAACAAACATCATTAACCCTGTAAATACTGAAGTGTTTTGACTTGTAACAACCAACAAAATCCAGTTGGAAAGTGCACTGAAAGTGGATTGTTTGGTGTGTGTGACCACAGCCTGTGAACACCAAATATTCTGCCTCATCAGTTTATGGGTTTATTTCTGCTGGCAAAGGACATCTGCAGAACAGAATTCTTTCTGAGCATTCAGCCACTATGTCTGAGGAGCCAGGGACATGGAAGGAACTCAGGACTGCTAAGGCATTGACCCCACACTAGCTGCAGCTTTGTATGGATGGTTGTTCCTATGTTAGGCCCTGCTGCAAAAGTGGAGTCAGCCCCTCTACCCATGAGGAGTACTGGGGTGTCAGGCAAAACACCCTGACCTCCCCTCAAGGGTTAATGTGAACGGTAAGGCTTGTTCCATCCTGCAGGTCGGGGGTGTCAAACATGTGGCCCCGGTGGCTGGATCAGGCCCCCGGAAGGCTTCCATCAGGCCCACAGTGGAACTGGCCATCTCCTGCTTCCAGTTCTGCTGCTGCTGCATCATAGCTTGCTTCACTAGACTCTTAATCACTCAGTCGCTTCATGTTTTAACCTGGGTCCTAGACTCAGAACTCTGAGCATGAGATTTCTGTGGCGACTGTCAATAAATCAAAAGTAGGTTTGCATCTTACAGAGCTAATGTTTTAAGCATGTTTTTTATTTTAAGTAAAAAAAAAAAAAACACCCTTTGTGTTTGTGTCCTTTATAAAGTTTATATCTCCGCTACCTGGCATTACATTTTATGACACACATGGCCCAGCCCAGCAAGGTCTCATTTATGTCAGTTCCGGCCTTCGTAACAAATGAGTTCGACACCCCTGCTGTAGGTGTTATTAACTGGTCTCTTGGCCTACACAGCCCTTATCCTCTTCAAGGCCAGAGGCGGAAGCATGGTAATTAGCTTCTTATGAGAACCTGCGACCCATAGGATGGGAGGAGAACAATCAGGGGTGATGAGGTAATTTTCTGGAGGCTTCTCCTGAGAATTTGTCCTTAAAGGATTTCACCATCACCTGAAGTTGCCAGGCAAAAAACTATAATTGAACTAAGGCCCAGAAGGAGAGAGACTAGGTGGGATTTTGATGGACTGAAGGCCTGAACTAGGACCTATTTGAATTGCCAAATTCCAGTTAAGATGGCTGAGGAGTAACAACCCGCTGGAGAGGCTCCTGTTTATTTCTCATTTTTACTGCTGCTTTTTGATATTTAGTCTGCTCAACTGACAGAAACAAAACTTGGACAACTTGTCCCAGTGAAAAGTACGAAGACGGACGAGTGATTTCAGCTTACGGACTTTTATTCGTGAAGAACAAGACAAGTCGCTTGGCTCGCAGGCCAGCTTATATGTGCAAGGAAACACACACCCCACTCCGTGTATTGGCTATTTACAGTGGCTGCGAGTTCCATAGGCTCTCAGCCGGGAGCCTAGTCCCCCTATTGGTGCGTTCTAGGATCCACAGAGTCCATTGTCTTTGGGAGTGAAGCTTGACTGCTTCTGACGACCGCGTGGACCCCTTTCCTCGCACATGGTCTGGAATGAGTACATTACACCCAATTACACCTTTGGAAGTATTTGAGGGGGGGCGAAGCAGGGGTCATTTCCTGCAGGAGCACACAGGAGCGGAGCTCCGGCAGTAAAGAGCCCAGGGGGCGGGCACATGCAACAAGCCCCACCCCCTGCTCCCAGCAGCCCACAGTCAGAGGAAGAAGCAGCCAGGTAAGTTGCAGAGGGGCCCCCCGTCCAAAACAGTCCAGTGGCACCTTTAAGACCAAGTTTTATTCAGGTACAAGCTCCCCCTCCTCTGCGAGGACAGATCTGCACGTCCCCCCCCCAATAGCTAACAATCCAAAACAGTCCAGTGGAGCCTGAGTGGTGGGTGTTGCCTTCTGACACACTTCTGGTGATGCCAGGGGGTGTGGCATATGCAAATAAGTTATGCTAATGAGCTCCTGCACCTCTTCTTCTACGAAATGACCCCTGGTTGTAAGCAATGCTCCCTCTAAGCTGTGGGGGTCTTGTGAGCAAAAATTCTACTTTGTGAGCTACTGGCACTAAAGTTGTCAGCGAGCCATTTGGCTACTTTTGTTGTTGTTCAGTCGCACAGTCGAGTCCGACTCTTTGCGACCCCATGGACCAGCTCCCGCCAGGCCCTCCGGTCTTCCGCCATCCTCTGAAGTTGGCTCAATTTCATGTTCATTGCATCTATGACACTGTCTAACCATCTCATCCTTTGCCGTCCCCTTCTTCTTTGACCTTCAATCTTTCCCAGCATCAGGGTCTTCTCCAGTGAGTGCTCCCTTCTCATTTGGTGGCCAAAGTATTTGAGCTTCAGTTTCATTATCTGGCCTTCCAGGGAACAGTCAGGGTTGATTTCTTTGAGGATTGACTGATTTGTTCTTCTTGCAGTCCAAGGGACTCTCAAGAGTCTTCTCCTCCAGCACCATAGTTCAAAAGAATCTATTCTTCGCCCTCGGCCTTCCTTATAGTCCAACTCTCACAGCCATACATGACTACTGGGAATACCATTGCTTTGACCATGCAGACTTTTGTTGGCAGGGTGATGTCTCTACTTTTTATCATGCTGTTTAGGTTCGCCATCGCTTTCCTCCCAAGGAGCAGGCGTCTTTTAGGCTACTGCATAAATTAGTTTGCTCTGGAGCCCTCCTTCCTGAGCTGAGACAACAATCTGTGCGCTGGAGGCTAAAAAACTGAGCTCACTCACACTAACTCAGCTTAGAGGGAGCACTGGTTTTAAGCGCAAAACCTCCTGGATCAGCCAGGGCAGGATATCCAGCAAAGCCATTGCGTTTCGGCCCTCCAATGGTTAAAATCAGCAGAGCTCGGAGTCGTAGAGAGGAAGGAAACCGTGGAGGGAGGTAGGGGGGGATATCGATAGCGCCTGCAGTTGCCAGCCTGACTTTCCACACACACACGCACAAGACTGCAAAGGAACCCAAAAAGGGTTCCGGGCGTCTTTTGGGAGAAGCTGGACTTGGATTCCTGGGACAGAGAGACCACCAGGTAAAAGTGCGGGGGTGGGGGACGAAGATCCCTTTATTTCGGCGAAGCCGAGCAAGGTGGGGAGGAGGCTATTGCCGATGGAAACTGGAGAGGAGGGGCTTGAAGGGCTCCTTTCCGCGTCTCCCTCGTCCTTTTTGGAAGCCTCTCTCGGGGTCTCCCTATGCAGGACCCAGCCCTCCTGCAGATCGGCGGG